CAAGGGAACCCATTTCTGCTCAAATACCAAATGTTCAGCTTATGGTTTTGTCCAACCTTTTTTATTAACACACACGCACACGCACACGCACACACACACACGCCACCCAACCAAGATGCTGGGAGGGCCTTGCTGGGAATGCTGTCCTAAGCATGAAAGACAGCCGTCCTATTCAAGCCAGCAAACTTTCCCAGACTCTGACCCTGGGGTGGGAGCCACGAACCTCAAAAGCCATGGCCACCAGCAGGTGCAGCAGGGAACCGGCTCCAACCCCACGGTCTGCAGCCCGAGCGTGGCTGAACTGTGAACAGCAAGGAAAGCGCCAAAGCCCTCAGACAAGAGTGACAAGGCCGGGCCATGTTCCAAGCCGCCGACAGACCTCTGCCTGCTGCAGAGACAGCGGCTGAGCCGGGAAGGCCAGGCATAAAGCGAGTGGCAGGAGCGCCCCATCTTCCGAGTTACCTTTTCTGCACCCCGGGAACGCATTGCCACACTTTCCAGCATACACAGGGAGACAGAGAGAAGCTCAGTTAGCTCCTCATTGGTGAGTCTGAGGAGGGGATGCTCAGGTGTCACTAAAAGCTGTCAATCAAATGATACAGTGCCGGCTACTGTGCACCGCCACAAGCTGGGGGTATTTTCTTCACAACCATATCTCAAGTCTGCCTGCTAGGAATTAACCTGATATGAAACCATGACAACAGCAAGAGTTCTGCTGCTCTCTGACTCCTTTACAGACCTGCCTGTGAGCCGGGACCAAGTCTGAGTCATCAGCGGAGCCCACCATAGCACCTACCCTGCAGAGAGCGTCTTCCCGTGAAGACCGCTGAAATCCCAACCTGTGTCCTTGGGAACAGATGCCCCAGGTCCAGGGGTGAGGGGCTCCCAAGGGGCTCAGGCCACACCCCAACCCCACAAGATTGGTTGGACACTGTCCCGTTTCTAACTAAAGCGCTAGGATTTAGCGTTATAACCAGATTCCTTTGCCCCTAACACTGGGGTGTGCCCTTGATCTGTCCCTCTGCCCTCAGCCTCAGCCCAGGGCAAGCTGGCTCGGTGCTCGTTCCCGCCGGCATGGCTCCTGATGACTGTCTTGCGGCCTCCTCTGGGCACCTGTGGGCCTCCCCCTGCTGTGCCCATGTCCATCTTCTCCCACCTGTGGCTCCCAGCGCCCTCCTGAAGGCTGCTAGGTGCCGGCATCAGCGCTGGCACTGAGTCTGCGTGTCCCTCAACCACAGAACTCAGTGTGGCTGTGACTGAACTCACTGCTGCCCGAAGCTCAGACAGCTCCTGCCTCACAGCAGTTGGAAATGACAGTCTCCCCATATAGCATAAGCTCAGAAGTGAGCAGTGTGTGTGTGTGTGCATGCACACGTGCACGCGCTCGTGAGAACCTACCGGGTGCACTTTGTACAAGATCTGTGTCCTCCATCAAGCCAGGGACCACTGCCTGCCGCAGTCTGGTGCCACCTGACTCTCAGGACCACCCTGGGTCAGACGGACCTACGCACCCCTCCCTCAGGATCCACCGAGGAGCGGCCCATGCAGTTGTGGCAGTGACTCTGAACTCACAGGGTAACGGTCAGCGAACACACCCGAATTCTCTCAAAACTCTTCTGGAAGCAGGGCCGAACCTAAGTGCTTTTGACCCTCGATAGTAAACAATTTCAGACATCACAGGAAAGTAGAAAATTAAAACTCACTTTCAGTGGGCAGCATCCATGGGCGACCTCCAGAGCCCCGTAAGTTTGGGAACACCCACGCAATCTGCTCCACAGAGTCTCTCCATGATTTTAAGAAAATTCTGCTTTGTTAAGAATAAACAGTTCACAGTTCACGTTAGACAGCACTTCCAAGCCCTCCGCCTGTTTCGCGTATCCTCTGTGGTCAGCAAAGCTGCTGGACACGAGAACAAGAGAGGAGAGAAGACTGTGACTATGTGGGAGAACAACAGTGTGTTCCCAGAGGCACGGCGGAGGACGGGGACCAGCGCCGGGGGTAGCTGTGTCCACCAGGGCACACGGGATGCATCTCAGGACCCGAGACTCAGAATATATGAGGAGGACAGCAGATGTGTGGGCGGAGCTAAAGCGCAGGCATTGGCTGCTCCGTTTGTGCCTGAGCTGCTCCCTGCTCGTGCATTAGCTTTCAGTATCGCCCTCGTTCCTCATCAGAGACACTGGCGGAAGTGTTCGTCCAGTCTCTTCCCCTGGAATAAACACCTGAGCTGAGCAGCACACAGAGAGAAGGAGTTTATTTCGGGTTCCGGCCTGGGGTCAGGGGGACACGTTGCTGAGAGGCCTCTTCCAGGGCTGCTGGACAGCCAAGGTGGGGCCCACATGGGGGAGCAGTGTGTCCCAGCCACAAGGAAAGTGACTAAGACAGATGGACGACTCCCACTGGAGGAGCACGTGTGGGATGATTTCAGGAGTTTGTACGTCCATGAGGGAAGACGGGGATGTAAGGGTCACCAGCACCCCAGGCTTCACATGGAGGTGTGGCCCAGAAGAACCAGGGCAGAGAGGCCAGAGACTGGAGCCCCAGCACTACACCAGGCTAGAAGAGAAGGTCGGACGGCCAGGGCAGAGCAGAAGGACAGCCAGCGTCTCGGAGAGGATCGGCCGCCGCCAGCAGGGACCAGGGGGCCAGCACTGAAGGCCCAGGGGCTGAGGAATATATCGGGTAAGGACAGTTCAGCACCAGCGGCCACCTAGGAAATTTGTCAGGAACAGAAGGGAGGAAGCAGAGTCCAGCATCCGAGTCCGGGCTGGAGCAGGAGGCTTTAAAGCTGAACACTTTCAAATCCAGCAAAAAGCACCAGAAAGGAAAAGAGATCTGGAGAGCAAGGAGAGAGATGCACATGGAGGCTGCTGCACGGGTGGGCGTCCACGCACCCTGGCGTGAGAGGAGGAGACTGGGAAGACACCGAGAGCCCAGAAAGGGTGGGTGGCTAAGGCAGGGCAGCATGGCACAGCCCCCACTCTGCACAGCAAGGCCACTGGCTGGAGGAGGCAGGTGGCTGGACAGGCCAAGGTCACACGGAGGGAACAACGTGACCGCAGGCGTAGAACAGAAGAAGCACCAGGACAGCACCCGCCTTGCATCACCGGTGCCATTCCTCAGAGTGTTCTTGAATTCGGGCGCCCTGACCGCTCCTCAACAGCACGATCGCTGCATTAGGATCCCAGAGCCCAGCGTGGTGTCTGAGGGTCATCGCCTCCCAGGAGGGCCCATCCGGTGGATCATGACTCCTGGCGTCTCCTTGCCCAAGCAGCCTTCCCTCCCCTTCTACGGCATGCAGCTCCTTGTACCCTGGGTACGGCTTGCTGCGGCCGCACGCGGGTGACCCACCAGGTAGGGGGTCGCACTGCTCATGGAGGCCACATTCACCCACAGGAGTCTGGCAGTGAGAACAGATGACAAAGCAATTACAGCTGCAGACGCAGCGCTTCCGGTCACCACGGCACACAGAGCCAGCCCCAGGCCACGGGGTTGTTCTCTGAGCAGCTTCCTGTTTTTACCTTCCCGCATGGGCCCTGGGACCTCAGAGTACATCTTGTGACCTAATTGCAATCTTCACCTCACCCCAGAGCTGGTTGTCCCTCCTCCTCCTTGCCTCTGATCACCAAGGCTAACAGGTACCTGATCAATAGCCCCGCTGATGGGCGATGATGGGGTTTAAGGAGCTCACCCTCTAGGGAACCTTGGTCTGATATTAGAGTGACTTGGGGACGGAACCCTGGTCTGATAGTAGAGTGACTTGTGAATGCTGTTCATGGTCCAGTTCTTCCTCTTTCACCAGGAGGCCTCACTGGCGAGAACCTTCAGAACTAAGGACAGTGAAGTCAGGACCCCTCTCCCAAAAGCCACATCAGTTCTCACAGGTGGAAGGTGGCGGAGACGAGTCCAGAAGGAGAAAGCCCACCCTTAACGTGGCCGAGAGCGTAGCAGTCTAAGTGAGCCCAGCTCCTGCACCCCTGGGCCAGCTCATCACCCCGCTGTCCATCTCAGCCACTTGGGTCACCCTGCGAGGGGGACCGTGAGCTGTAAGCGAGAAACCCTTGCATCTGGGGCCTGCCCCAAGGTGGGAAGGTGGCCCGCCGGCCCCGGGTCCCTCCTTGAAGACAGCTCCGGCCTTGGCTGGGGAGGGAGCAGGTGGTCCTGCTCATCTGTCGGAGTGTCTGTCCCCTGCCACTGAGGGCATGCCGCTACACCCTCATTTCTCCTGTCTCATGCGAAAGTCCGGGGCAGCTCAGCACTGAAATCCGTATTTTCTGCCTCCGAGATAAAAATAGTTGGTGAAGCGTAAAGAAGTTCTGCCCCAGTTTATTTAAGGCGTAATCTCAAATATCCCTTTGTCCTAATTACAGCACCATCCCCGAAGGCAGGGCTCGGAGAAAACCTGCCCAGCAGCGCGGAGTTTTATTTTTGATCTTCAATTTGACTCTCAAATATTTACAAATCCCCTCAGCGAGGCCCAGCTGGGCACGTGGCTGGGATTCACCACGTGGGGAAGCGTGCAAAGGAAACGAAGCCAGGACAAAACCAAAGAGCCGGAAGCTTTCCTTCCAAAATGGCTTTACAAGAGAGTTAATATTTAATGTACCGACAACGGCTCTTTTTTTTTTTTTTTTTTTTTTGGCAGCACTGGGCTTTGAACCCATGGCCTTTGCACTAAGCTGCGTCCACAGCCTTTTTTTCTATGTTTTGTTTTGAGACAGGGTCTCACTATGTTGCCCAGGATGGGCTCAAACTTTTGGTCTTCCTGCCTCAGCCTCCCACAGTGCTGGGATGACAGATGTGCAGCAGCACGCTCGGCTCAAAATTTATCACCATTTTCCTTACCTAGACCTCGTCATCGCATCTGAACCGTGTGGCCCATGGCTCTGTTCCACGAAGCCTGCTGGGACACTTGCGTTTCTCACCACAGAGCGGTTGCCATGGCCCCATTTTTATGATGCACGAATAACATTTATGACAGGCAGTCAGCATTCCAGGCAGTGGCCTAAGCTGCACCTTGGGTCTCAGAAAGGCACCGGCACCGGGCCGGTGTGTATCACACTACACAACACTCAGCGGGCTGCTTTACCAGGAAAAAGGTTTGTTCAGTTCGTGCTTTGGGCAGAGTCCCAGGGCAGCACAGGGCATCCTGCGGTGAGAGCCAGGGGCCCAGGCGTGGCACCCTCTGCTCTCCCCTCCACCTCAGAGAAAGCCACCAGGGTTCTATCGTGGGCTCCCCTGAGGACCACATCTAACCCTGATTCCCGAGGGCCCCTCCACACACCGTAGATAAGTATCCACCCCGCCAGTACCTCATAAGACGGCACAGTTTTATCACACGAACCCATGAGGGGCCCTCAGACCATGTCCCAGCTGCCACCATACCTTCTTCTACTGGGAATGAGGAAATCTTGTAAGAATTAGCTGGCACAGTGGCACACACAGGAGGACTGCTATGAGTTTAAGACCAGCCTGGGTCACATGGTGAGTCCCAGACGCCCTGGACTAAATGGGAGACCGTCTCAAAAAAAAAACCAAAAACACAAACAGAATGGGGTGGAACGCACAAACACCCCATGCAAGTCGCAAGCCCAGGACAGACCCCTCCGGTGCATTCTCCTCACCCCTTACTGCTTCTCCCGAGGCAGACTCATCCTCTTGAGGGACTGAAATAGTTAAAGGCACTGAGGATTACACCCTTCAACGCCTCCACTGCAAGTGAACACGAAGAAGATAAACCTTAGTAGAGTAGCTGCTCTCTTGTAACTGCAGGTGATGGATGAATATGAATTCATTTATTCCACGGATATTTATTGGGCCTCCTCGATGAAAGGGCCCATCCTGCATGCTGAGGTCTGCTCTTCCACTGTTAAATGTTACAACAATTAAATTTTTCTAGAATGGTTTATAACTAACTCAAAGTGCTCTTCGAGAAGGAGCCCTTAAGTGAGTGGCCGAGCCAACCACAAAGCATGTCATCCCTTACGGTAAATCACCAAACACAAACAAATAAGACCGTTACTGAGATGAGAGTCCCTTTACTTACAGAAACTGTATCGCAGCTACTTTCTTTCAAGATCTAATTAGATCTAAAGCTTCATTTGGGAAACAGAAGATGAAAATGAACCTCTTATCCTAAGGCTATCTGGAGGGGAATCAACAGCAGGCATAAATTTTTTTTTATCATATGGCAAATTTGCCCAGGTAATAATCAAACAAAAGAACTCTGTTCTCAGAGTGGGGAAAGAAGGAAGAAAAGAATCGACTCGGCCATGTATTGGGACAGGGAATGATCACGCTTAGCATGTTCCTAATTGATTTCACAACTGTTTTGGGAAGAGTAACACTGTTTAATTCAACATTTCCCAGGAGATTTGAGATAAATTCAGGTGTCGTGTTGAAATTCCCCCAAACAAAATATCTTGGAGTATAAACATGTCCTAATTTGGGGAATAAATATTCTGAAATTTAAAAAAAAAGAAAAGACAGTCCGGGTCTTCCCGCTGCACAGTGAAGACCAGCTCTTCCTGGGCCAGTGACGTCGGGCTGAGCCCCCAGATGCCTTGGGATAACCTCCTGAAGTTCACGCATGAAAGGGACCTCCCACTCTCTCCCGCATCTCCCACTGGATTCAGTATTCGCTTCCTGCTTTTGTCAGCTCTGGTTTTAAAGTAGCTGTTTGTTAATGGCACGAAGCCGGGGTACGGTGAATGGGAAGTATTACTCATTTCGCAAAAATGATTCTCTGAAGCAATTGCTGGGAAGTTCTGTACACCAACCTTCCAGGTGGTGGTCAGTAAAGTCGTGACTCCTGACCAGCTCAGCAGAGAGGAGAGAGCACAGGATCCAAGTTCCAGAGCCACAGCCCTCAGGTTTCTGGAGCCAGCGCTGAGCTGAGAACATCTGTCCCAAACTCTTGTCCACCTGGCAGAAGTCACTCACAGCGATGCTTTCTATGGCTTTATTGAGATGTGCCTGGCGGGCGGTGGCATTTTGGCTGGGCTGGACATCCTTTCTCAGAGGATGCAGGACTGTTGGCAGCACACGGCAGGTGCGGACCCAGCAGCGGGAGCGCCCGCCTGTCACTCAGGGTGAGCCTGCTGCAGCCCAGCTCTGCAGGGCCAGGCACAGTTGCTACACAAACACCACGTCGACGGAACTGCGCTGCCCATCCCAACAAGCAAACAAACACCCACCCCACTGCCTACTCCGCCTCGTCATCTCAACTGGGTCCCCAACTCCACAGAGGCCGAGGGCCTGATGGCAGAGCCCAGGAAGACGGCAGTCAGGGAGGACAGAGTCCCTTCGCACCTGAATGGGGAAAGACGGGAAGAGCCCACACCTCCCAGAGCTGAGGGGTCTTCGTGTCCTAGCCGCAAGGCCTTGCTCTGTGGGGAGGAGGAGACGCAAGTGGGGTGCAGTTGGGCTTCAGGTGCCTGCACTCATGTTGGGGGCCTAAGAAGGGCTCTGCACCGCGGGGCACCCTTCCCCCATCAGACCTGGGTCCTGGACAGCACCACGGCCAGGTGCAGTGCACGTGGCTGACCACCAGGAACTGCGTTCTCTCGCCTTTTACCTCGTAGGTTACAAGAAATGAAATACAGACATCGGAGCAGCCCGCGCCCCTTACAAGCAGACACGCGGTTTCCAGCCCACGTGACGCTCGCCGGCTGTGGTCCCAAGCTGCTCAGGTGAGCCGACAACTCAGCCTCCCGGCTTCGCCTCCTCAAGTGCATTAAGATGTTTTAGAGCTTGCTAGCAAGTTCCAACCTTAAAATCCTGATTATTTATTTATGCCCTTTTTGTCTAAGAAGTTAAATCCCCAGAGCATCTCAATTTAGATCAAAAGCAATTTACCAAACTTCACCTGGCACACCTGTGCCTTGTGATTTGTTAATTACCTGCTTAGCATTTCCAGGGCTGTGAGGCAGTGCTGCACCCCATGGGCTGCAGGGAAAAACCACTGATTCTCCCTCCTGTGGCAGAACCTTCCAGAATGCCCCAGGTGTTCGGGGCGCAGCCACTCCAGGCCACTAAACCACATGCACTTCTGCAAATTGCTTTCGTTTTCCAGGGTGACGAGCCCAGCTCTGAGCAAACAAGCACATAAATGTGAGGGAAGCTGCTGACATATTTCTTGGCTACCGGATCAAATTATATAATGGCGCTAGATCTCTCCCGCCGCCCCAGCACACATGAGACCGTCAGCACCCACACCCACCCGCTCACCTCCCCAGCGCTTGTGGCGCACAACTTGGCATCAGGCTATTAGAAATCACAATAATTACTTGCTTTACAATTGCTCCAAATGAAAGAGATCATTAAAGTGCGCACATGAAAAGATGATCTCATTCTAAGATGGCTCTGCTTTCTTCTTCCCGCCTTGCTGCGTTCTCAGCCATCCGTGTGAGCAGCACCCACAAATGCCCAGCAGGGCAAAGTCGGAAGCGGATGCCAACAGCACAGGCACTGAAGTTCTTCTCCCCCCACCCCCCAGTTTTGTTGCGCAGAGGTGAAAGACACAGCATTCTCTGAGCTCTGCTACCAGGAGGGGGCAAAGGAGAGGACGTCCAGCCTCTGCGCCACAGGCCAGGATGACCAAGGCCACAACTGCCACCTACTTCTGACGTTAAACTCTGAAGACGTGAAATGCACCCGATGCTTTGAAAACATCTAGGAAATTAAAATGATAACAGCATCACCCCTGGAAGCAGATACTAAAGACACCGCTGTCTGTGTACCTCGGTGGAGCTCCTCAAGCCTCCTCATAGATGCAGCTCCACACGCAGCAGGCTGCCTGCCCTGTGGCGTCTCTCCCAGGCAACCCCCAAGGCTGAATCTTCACTGTCACTGCAGTTCCCCCAGGTCCCGCACTGGCTCCTCCCGCAGCCCTTCTCCAGCCACCCTACACCCCACTGCCCGTGCACCGTGGGCTGGAACCAGCTCTTTCCAGCACTGCTCTACCTGGCCCAGGGTCCACAGCCTCCTCCCCACCAAAGCACTGACTTCCAGTTTTGCTTCCTGCTCAGTGTGACTCAGCCAGGACTTCTTCCCAGTTACCCACCCATTCAGATCGGTCTCAGCCCAGGGCCTTGATGTGTGGAGCAGGAAGAAACCTGCCTGAGAGGAGGGGAATCGATCCTGCCACCCACGGTGAAGTAAATCCTGACCTTCGAGAAGCAGTGAAATGGATAATCTCAAAAACACATGCAAAGGATGCAACAGAGTCACCTGCCCTCCAGACACTGGAAAGGAGAACATGGCGACTTTGTTTTCCAACCTTGAGCGTGAGATGAGGAGACATTCACCGTGAAATGCAGCACGTTTGGATAAAGGCGCAGCAAGGTCCCCGCTGAGTACCCGCGGACCCGCCATTGTGAGCCTGCACGGGGTACTCGCCTCTGACCCAAGCCCAGCACGCTGGAGAGCTGGGGAGATATGGCTGTGTTGCCCAGGTTGATGCCAGTAGCTGGACAGGTTCCAAAGTGACAGCACAGAGGCACGGGACAAAGTGGGGCTGCGGTAGGGAGAGCAGGCCTGGCCCTGTGGCACATACAGTGCGTGGGTGGGGTGGCCAGAGCTCTTCAGCCTAAACTGCAGCTGCGGGAGGATACCACCGAGGGCACGTGCACACCAGGGTGATGTGGAGACGGAAGCTACTTCTATTTCTGGGTGTCAGGGACTCTTCGGTCTTGAGTTGGGCAGCAGCTAATTTGGGGCCAGCCGTACACACATCCAGGGCTCACGTCCGCTGGGGGAACCAGCCTGTGTGTGGCCGTGCTGTGTGGGCACCACGAACACCGCCAGCCCTGCCGCAGCCACACAGCGCACGCCTCAGGCCTCACCTCCCTGGTTGGGCCCCGCCCTTGGGCTGGTGACAGCCCCCGAGACAAAGCAGGAACCGGCCCAAAGGCACAGACCACGCTGAGCACAGAGCAATACTCAAGCCAGTCAGGCCACCAAGGAGGGGCCGAGAAGCCAGCCTATGGCCTCCCTGGCCAATCACAGAGCTCTCTGGCTGGTCACAGAGCCACCCTGCCTTCACTTCCTGGGGCTGCGGCCACAATGGCCACAGCTTAAGACAAGAGCTGGTTCCTTGGCATTCTGTAGGGTGGAAATCCAAGCTCACGGCTGCCCCGGGGGTATTTCTGCCAGAAGTCCTGGGGAGTGATCCAGACCATGCCTGCCTCGGCCTTTGGGTGGTGCCAGTGGTCCCCGGTGTCCCTGGGCCATAAACAAAGCTCTTGCACCAGTCCCTGTCTCCCCCATATTCGGAGCCTCCTACCAAATAAGGCATGGGAGCAGGCTCCAGGGAGCCACATCGCCAAGCGGCCAGGGGCACACACTCTCCTTTAGAAGGCTGACGGCTAGGGAGATTTCCGCTTCTCATTCACCTGTCTGTGGGCCTCATAGAACAGCGGCCTCCCTGGGCAGCACGCGGTCAGCACAGCACTCCCGTGTGGCCCAGCCAAGTCTGGAGAAGAACAGGGAGGTTTTGAGCACCATAAATGAGTGCATTCTGGGAACCTAATGTTTCATCAAGCGGGTCACAATTTTCAAGTGAGTAAGCTTTTCTCATAGCTCCCCTCCTCTGCAGCGTGCGTTTGGACAGGGGAAGAGTAGACAAGAGTATCTCTGGAACAGTCATTCAAGCCTTCCTGTGCCACAGGCGCAGCCTGGCAGCACAGCCCGGGGAGGAGGGCAGCAGAGCCCGCGCTCGGAGGCTCCTGGCTAGACCAGCAAGACAAAGAACTTACAGTGAATGCTTAATTTTTTAACAAATGTATTACAGTTAAAGACATATTGCTGAGGACATAAGTGTGTTTGAAGTGAGGAGGGGATTTTGAGGGGATCCATGGTAATGTGTCTTTTACTGTCATACTTTTGAATATTCACCTCATTTTTGATCACTGCCTACTGATCAACCATTTACAGGAATTTCTGTCAAAGAAATACATGACGCTGTGTCCTCACCCACCGTATTCACCAGATCTGGGGCCATGCAATGTCTGGCCCTTCCCCAAAGTCACGATCACCATGAAAGGGAAGCACTTTTAATCCATTCAGGACTCTGAGGCAGCCAGGACAGTGCAGCTAAAGACAGTCAGGAAAGGGCTTTCTCCAGAGCTGCTGCAGAAAGGACAATGGCAAGGACAATGGGGTGGGTTTGCTCGATACAAGGGGGCAGACTTTGAGGGGGATTCCTGGCCATGTGTCTTTTACTGTAACATATTTTTTAAAGTACATATTCACCGTATATGTTGCCCATACCACATATGTCTAGGGCATGCAGAGGAAGAGGTCCACCGCAGAGGGAGGGGCCGGGGCAGGCCAGGAAGGGAGGACACCTGGGGCAGGAGGTCAGGGAAAAGAAGGCAGGCTCAGGAAGGGGCTTTCTGGGACTGGAAGTGGAGGAGACCAGAGCTGAAAGCGCACACTGACACGGGGTTGGAAATTGCCCCACCCACAAGCAGGAGCTCCTCTCTGTGCACAGGGAACACTGTGGAGCCGAAGGTGGGGATGCCCAGCCCTGCCGGGTCTGCTGTCAAGATGCAGCCCGTGCATGCGAACTGCAGAGCCGGTCGCCGGCCTCAGAGTCTGGCTCGTGTAATGTTCAGCAGTGCGGCTGGCCAGGGCTGGACCGGCCTTCTCGCTGTCTCCCACCCCCAGCAGCCCTTGCTGTGAAAGGCAGACTTTTGCAGGCAGATATTTTGGGACTGGAAACTATCAGCAGTCATACATTAGAACTAATCCGAAAGAAGCATGACAGACTGTCATAAAAGCTTGCTGGTAGCTCCTGCTAGCATTTATAACATATAAATAAGTCATGTATATTAAAGCTGTGCAGAGAGCCCGCCAGAGAGGACAGATAAGGACATGGTAAAAGGCAGCCCGACGAGGAATGTCTATCAGGCTATTACAGGGATTATTTTGGGAAGAGCACATCCGAACAGAATGATGAAATGGAAAGGAGCCCAAGTTGCAAACTGGTACAGACGTGAAAAGACGGCCACGCTGGTGTGAGAGACGGGCACCTGGACAGGCGCATGCCCCCTCCAGGCCTCAGTCAGGACCCTGCAGTGCAGGAGCAGCCGGGACAGTACCAGGGGATGGAGACATAGAATGCAGGGATTCAAGGGATGCACTGAGGGCCAGTGAACTCCTAGACAGTGGCAAGCAGACAATGCGATTTCCCTCCCACCCGGGAGCTCCCTCTCGTCCTGGTTGCATTTCAGCCATCAGTGGGTGTGGGAGATACTGAGAAAGCAGTGATCCTGCATGCGAAGGATCCACAGTGAGGGACAGAGGGGACAGGCCACCCCTGGGCCCCGGCACCAGACAGCTGTAAGAAGACACTCGTGGATCTGTACCTGCAGCTCTGCTCTCAGCCTCCTGAGCTGGGCCGCTCGATACCAGAGAGATAGACAATTTGGAAGAGGTTCAGAGAAGCACAGAGTAGCAACATTATTAAGGGGCTAGTTTCAAAGATTGATTTAGGAAGGAAGATTAAGGGTGCTAAGTGTGCACAGTTCTCTTAATCAGGGACTCAGAGAAGACATTTCGGGGAGACGCGGTGAAGATGGAAGGGGATTATTCACACGAGAGGCTCCGTGTAGGCAGAAGCGTGTAAACTGGGAGCTGGAGCAGGAGGACTCGGCTCCATTAGCCAAGGTGGGGCCTGAGCCCAAGGCTGAGCTGACATCATGGAGCTTCTCTGCAGAGGCCCTCGGATGGAGGAAACACCAAAGCTGTGCTGATGTCCAGGTAGGCAGCATTTGGCCGGAAACAGACCGGCAAGAGCAGGTCCAGCAGTGACACCAGCTCCCTCCCGGTCTCACCATCCTCTCCCAGTGAGCCTGGTGACGCAGAGCCACAGTGCCACTCCCATGGTCCTGCTGCCAGTCACCCCCAAGGCCTCACCACCCGGCACCTGGCACCCTGACCTCACCACTCCTCCCTTCCTCCACCTCTGCCGACAGGTGGTGTAGTTCTCCCGGGGTCTCACCGCTCACAGCAGGCTTACAGTCAGTCACTAGCCATGGACGTATTCCACTGACCCCTCGCTTACATGCCTTTGGGAACTCTTTCATGGCTGGACTTTGTTGTGGTGATGGGGATGGTGCTGGCAGTGGTGATGGAGGTGAAGGCAGAGGTGGTGGTGCTGGAGGTAGGGGTGGTGATGATGATGGTGATGGTGACAGTAATAATGATGGTGGAGGTGGTGGTGGTTGTTATGATTTGTGTCTAGATGCCCCCCAAAGCCTCATGCAGTCATGGAGAGAGGCTTTTTTCAGAGGTGGCTGAATCCAAAGTGTGTGATTGATTCATAGTGCAATGCTGCAGTT